CACATTCCAGCACGCAAGCTTCTCCTTCATTGTCCTCCCTTTCTTCTTCTTTTTCTTTATTCTTGAATTCATTGGCCAGTAAGTAATTATTGGCCACGACTGGAGGCAACGTACCGAATTGGATAGTAAGGGGTTGATCTGAATCTTCTCCATCCCTTCTGTCTCGCTCAAACTTTGATCTCTCAGAAGAAGTTTCTGACAGTTCCTTCATTGATTCATCCGTACTGGTCTCTTCTCTATCTTTGAGGACATTTTGATTGGCTACCTTGAGTAGTTTAGGCGCTTTAGGATGTGGCACTCCCTATTGCTGCTCATCATCAGTCCATAGTTTCGTTGGAAACGCCTTTGTTGGGTTCTAGTCATCTCATCGAAGGGTATTGCCCTTCCTGCATTATACTAGAATGAATGCCATACATTTGGCCGGCGAGGTTGCGACCTAAATGTTCTTCCATTATCTGCTGGCCTGAACTGCCTCTCAAAAGCAGTCCTTTATAGAATGATGTACCTCACCCCCTACCAGGCTGAGTGTTTAGGAAAAAGGTAGGGCGATGGGGATGCTCCCATATCCCTGGTTTCTCCGTATTGCCATTCATTTCTCTTTTACATCTTGCACATAGGACGTATTCGTCCTTTTTTGGTTCTTTCCCTTTGATTCGTTCAAAGACACTGGGATGTGGTCTAGGATCCTCTTCTCCATTATCTACGATCAACTTGAATTTTGGCAACTTGTTTTTGAATCCAGACGTCACCATGTTCACTCCAAGTGGCTGTGAAAAAGGATTTTCATCCACTACCATCTTCCTCTTATCCTCGAACGTAATTCGTCCTGATTCAATGGCATTCTGTAACACATGGCGAAAAATCAAACAGTTATTAGTCAAATGTGACCATGCATTACGCCACTTAAAATATTTTTTACCCTTAACTTGTTCAGGGCTTTGCAATTTATGTTTATCGCTCAACTTTATCTGTTTATCCTTATATAGTTTATCAAATATAAGGTCAGCTTTAGTTACATTGAACGAGAACGTTCTAACTTTTATGTTTTTATCTTTCATAGACTCATCCTTGTCCGATGGTCTAGGCTTAGCCATTATGGGACAAGTATACGTGTCTACTTTGACTAATTCAGCCAAACACATTTCGGTCTGATCGTATGACTCATTACTGATGGTATGAACATCAAAATTTGGGTCTCTATAATAAGTCCCCTTGCTAGAATTTTTTATCTACTCTTCTTCTCTTATCAATCGTTCATACCTAATCACGTTCGCGCTCAATTG